CGTTTGCAAAACAGATTCCCTGCGGAGCCTTCGAGGATCTCCTATGTAACCTCCGGCGGCCCCCTTCGCCGTGATGTGATCAGGGCGGCGAGCTCCCCCAATTCCCCTCCGAGCACGCCCAGCAGCAGCACAGGCCCGGTCAAACCAAAAGGTTGGCACGTGAACGGGCGGGGCACGATACGAAAAAATAAAAGCAGTGCGACCTGCATGCATGACGTGAAGGACGTGCACGACGAGTGAGCAAGCCCTGTGCCACTGCGAAGAGGGGGGAGGGGAGAGGCCAGGGGATTGTGGAGCCCCTCGTCGTTTTCATACGGTTTTAAAACTTTACACTTTGATTGTTTTTTGTAATGTTTCTTTTCGCCGTGATCCCCTCATACTAATATTTTCTCGTTATATCGTTATCTAGTGTTCTCTCTCTCTCTCTCTTTGTCTCTCTCTCTCTCTCTTTGTCTATCTCCTGCACCAGGCCAACGCATGCCGATGCGATACACATCCATTCCCAACCAACTCCAATGCCAATGCAATACCAATGGGTGACTCCTTTCGTCCGGTGGATTTCAATAAGAATATTTTGGGGATGATGTCATTACGAATCCTTCTTCGGAGGATTTCAATAGCAATGCTTAAGTGTAGGGTTTCGATCGGGATCCTCATGTTGAGGGTTTCATTAGGAATTCTTCATGTCGGAGGATTCAATCGGAATCGTTCTTGTGGAGGGTTTCAGGAGGAGTCCGTCTGCGGAGGGAGCCATTAGGACTCGCCAGCGCAATGCCAACGCAATGCCATAGCTTTGCCGTCGCAATGCCAAACCAATGCCAAGGCGATCCCAATTCAATGCCAATGCAATGCCAATGGGGCGTATCCTTTGTGGTAGATTCCAAAAGGAACCCTACCTGTGGAGGGTTTCGATTGGAGTCCTTCCGTGGGGGGGGTCAGTATGAATCTTTTTCTGTGGGGGGCTTTCAAAAGGATCCATTGTTGTGGAAGGTAAGGAATCCTTCAGTGGTGGGAGCCATTCGAACTCGCCAGCGCAATGGCGAAGCAGTGCCAACGCAATGCCAAACCAGTGCCAATGCAATGCCAATGGGGGGGAATTGTTTGTGGTAGATTTCAATAGCAATCCTTCTAAGAACCCTTCTTCGGTCGAACTCGCCAGCGCAATGCCGACGCAGTGCCAACGCAATGCCAATGCAATGCCAATGGGGGAATTGTTTGTGGTAGATTTCAATAGCAATCCTTCTAAGAACCCTTCTTCGGGCTATTTCAAAAGGAAAACTTCTATGGAAGGCTTCGCATGGAACCCTTCTGTTGCGGATTTCAAGTTAAATCCTTCTTGCGGGGGGATTCAATAGGCATCCTTTTTGTGTGGTTGTTTAATAGGAATCCTTATGTGAAGTGTTTGAGTAGGACTCGCCAGCGCAATGTCAACGCAATGCCAACGCACTGCTAACGCACTGCCATCGCGGTGGCAACGCAATGCCAATGCGATTCCAAACCGTTGCATAACCAACGCCGATGCAATGCCGATGGCGGGATTAATGTCTTCCAACAGGTTTCACTAGGAACCCTTCTGTGGATGACTCTACAGGCTTACGCCACATCCGCCGACCCCTTCTGTGAGTGTTGCGAGGCCAGGAGTTTCTGGCCAGCGGCGTCTTGTGTGAGGGTGCGGTGTCGCGCGCGGGTGGTGGCAGATACGTAGGGGGTCCAAATGTTTGCGTGATGCCGGTGGTCTGGGGCGTGTTTTGCGAGCGCTTTGCGTGCTGTGCACCCGGGTGCGGGGTGTCCTTCTGGGAGGTCGGCCTTTCGACCCGCAACCAAGTGGAGGAGCACGGGAAGACGAAAGGAGCAAGAGTAGTGTGTGGAAGCTGTGATCAGCGAAGCATCACAGCGAAAGATGTGGCATATGAACCGACACGGGTGAAGAGGCTGTTGACGTTCGCAGCGCGCACGAAACAGTTCGCGCGGCAGCAGCACACTAGCGCCGAGCAAGATAGTGAGCACGTCGCGAGGAAGAGTAAGGTTGTATGCGCGGAGTGCATTGCAGTTGGCGTGACGGCTCGCAATACGGAAGCGTCTGGGGGTCTTTGGGGGGCCTCCTGGGGGCCTCTTGTGGGCTCCTTGGGGCGTCTTGGCGGTTTCTTGAGGGCCGTTGGCGGCCTGTTGGGGCACTCTTGGGGCCCCCTGGGGCTCGTGGGGGCGGAAAGTTAAATTTTTGAATTGTTGGTTGCCCTCTTGGGCCCCTCTTGGTGCCGTCTTGGAGCCTTCTTGGGCCGTTTTGGGGACCTTTTGGGCCGTCTTGGGGCCATATTGGACCGTCGCGGGGCCGTTTTGGGGGCCTCTTGGGCCGTCGTGGGGCGGTTTTCGGGGCCTCTTGGGCCGTCTAGGGGCGTCGGAAAGCCCAGAAGGCGGATGTGTGAACATTGTACGTGGGAATAAGTACATTTCTGCGTCCAGGGACCGTCTTGGGACGCATCTCGGGGGCCTCTCAGGGGCGTGTTGGGCCATCTGGAGGCCATGTTGGGTGTCTTCGATCGCGTTTGGGCCGTGTGGGACCATGTTGAGCTCTCTTGGAAGCCACTTGGAGCGCTCTTGGGGCCGTTTTCGGGGCTCTCTTGGGCCGTCTTCGGCGCCTCTTGAGCCGTCTTAGCGCCTTCTTGGGTTGTCTCGGGGCCCTCTTGGGGGCTCCATGGGCCGTCTTGGGGCGGTCTTGGGGGCCTCTTGGGCCGTCTGGGAGCGTCGGGAAACCCAAAATGCGATGTGTTTTTCAAAAAAAAAAAAAACGCACGCTTTACGAAGGGAGCGGGCTAATTTTTGCGTCTAGAGGCCCTCTTGGGACGCATCTTGGATGCCTCTTGGGGCCTCTTGGGGGCATCTTGGGCCGTCAGGAGGCCATCTTCGGTGTCTTTGATCGCTCTTGGGCTGTCTGGGACCATATTGAGCTCTCTTGGAGGCCACTTGGGGCGCTCCTGGAGCGTTCTTGGGGCCCTTTTCGGGGCCCTGTTGGGCCGTCTTGGGCGTTTGTTGGGCCGTCTTGGGGCCCTCTTGGGCTATCTTGGGACCCTCTTGGAGGTTTCTTGGGCCGTCTTGGGGCGGTCTTCGGGGCCTCTTGGGCCGTCTTGGAGCGTCGGAAAGCCCAGAAAGCGAATGTGTGAAACTTATACGTTTTACTAAGGGAATGGGCAAATTTTTGCGTCTAGGGACCCTCTTGGGACGCATCTTGGAGGCCTCTTGGGGCCTCGTGGGGACCTCTTGGGCCGTCTTGGAGGCCTCTAGGCTCGTCTTGGGGCCATCTTGGGCGTCTGGGAGCGCTCGTTTGGCGTCTCGGGGCCCTCGTGGGCCGTCTTGGGGGCCTCTTGGAGCCTTCTGGGCCCGTCTTGATCCCCTTCTGGGACCAAAAAAGCCCTGTGACGCGCTCGTCGTGGGCCCTGGGGGGGGGGTCAAATCTCCGGTTTGGGGTCCCTGGGGGGGTGGGATTATGGGGGGGGGAACTATCTCACACGCCTAGAGACCCACAAGGGGTCGGCGGATTTGGTTACGAATGCTTCTTCGGAGGATTTCGATTGGAATCCTCCCGTGAAGGGTTTCGATTGGCATCTTTATGTGTGGGGGGTCATTTTGAATCCTTCATGTAAGGGCTTTCAAAAGGACCCCTTCTTGTGCAAGGTTTTCATGGGAATCTTTCTGTGGGAGGAGGAGCCATTAGAACTCGCCAACGCAATGTCAACGCAATACCAACGCAATGAAAACCAATACCAAAGCGATCCCAAGTCAATGCCAATGCAATGCCAATGGGGGAATTTTTTCCGTGGTCGGGTTCAAGAAGAATCCTTCTATGCAGGGCTTCGAGTGGAATCCTTTCGTGAGAGAGTTCAATGTGAACCTTTCTTGTGGGATGCTTCAATAGGAATCCTTCTTGTGGGGGTTCACCAGGGATCATTATGCGAACGGAGGTGGTGGAACTCGCCAGCGCAATGCCAACGCAGTGCCAACGCAATGCCACACCATTGCCAAAACGATCCCAACCCAATGCCAATGCACTGCCAATGGAGGGAATCCTTTGTGGTAGATTTCAATAGGAATCCTCCTGAAGAGGGTTTCGCATGGAATCCTTCTGTGGAGGGTGTGAATATGAACCGTGCTTGTGGAGGGTTTCAGTAGGAGTCCTTTTTGTAGAAGGTTTCGATCGGAGTCCGTCTGTGGAGGGTTCCATTAGGACTCGCCAGCGCCATGCTTGCGAAATGCAAGCACACCTAGCAACGCACTGCCAAGCGCAATGCCAACGCAATGGCAATGCCAATGCGATGCCAAACCATTGCCAAACCAATGCCAATGCAATGCAAACGGGGGCCTCTTTTTTTCGAAGCATCTCAACATCAATCCTTCTGCGGGTGATTTCACTAGGAATCCATCTGTGGAGGATTTCAGTCGGAATCATTCAGTGGAGGGTTTCGATAGGAATCCTTTTGTAGAGGATTTCACTATGAATCCTTCTTGTGGGGGCGTTCAATAGGAACTCTTCTAGGGGGAGGGCAGATGAGGCCACGTCGCATTTTTTTTTTTCGCCGCCGACCCTCTCCCCCAAGAAAAAACAAAAACTGGTCCGTTTCCTTTAATTTGGGGGGGAGGGGGGAGAGAACAAAAAACACAGGAGGAGGAGGAGGAGGAGGAGGGGGAGGCGGAAGGAGAGGAGGACGCCACAGAGTACGCACACCACTGAAAGACGCACGCGCGAACTCAGTGTGAAAGGCTGGCGCGCGCGCTCTGGAAACCCGAGGGGTTCCACAATCCCCCGTTCTGGGAGGGGAGGGGGAGGGGGGCGAGAGGGTGGAGGGGAGGAGGGTGAAACTTTGCCCCTCCCCCCAGCACGCCCGCTGTCGCGAGCAATCGCAAAAACGCGAACTTGGCGGGACGAGGGCGACGGAGAGGCGCGCGGCACTGGCGCCGCCCTCTCGTCGGCGGTGCCGCCTCTCACGCGCCCCCCGCGGCCCCCGCAGACGGTGGGGGGCCCGTGCACTCGACGTGCCTGCTGCTGTTCTCGGTCGTCGTCGTGGTGGCCCTCAGCTCGAGGAACAAAGAGGGACAAGAGCATGGGCGCTCCTGGAGGGCCGCGCTGATGCCTTCGGCGGCCACGTGGGAACCCCGCCCCCCACGATTTCCAAGGGGGGTGGGGATTCACTTCGCTCGGGAGCTCCAGAGCTCCCGAGCGGAGTGAACCCGGGGGATGGGGGGGCGGGGACGGCCGCAGGACCCCCGTCCTTGGCGCGCGGAGCGCACCCGGTGCGACGCCGGAGGCTCCGCCAGAACGCTCAGGCAGCGGTTCAAGAGATCCGCGCGGACCTCTGGAAGGTTACAGTGGCGGCCCACGAGAACGCACCCTGCTTGCCTCCAGGGTCCCCTGGGTTTCCTGGGCTTCCATGGTTTCGTGATGGCCAGCGCGACGTGCCCACGCCAAGAATCACTGGGCATCCTGGGGCCTCAGGGTTGGGTTTCTCGTGGAAGTTTTCTTGTGGACTGGCCCCCACTGCATGCTATTGTTAGGGGAACGACGCATGATATAAACGTATAAACTCGGAGTCGGCGCGGATTTCTCTGATCGGCGCTGGTTCCCCCCTCCCAGGCGCGCGGAGCGCGCTGGGGGTGGCGCCGGAGGCGCCGTAAGTAGGTTCCAGCGCGTAGCCGAGCAATCCGCGCGGACCTCCGAGTTGCTATGTTAATGTCATTGTTAAGTCGGGCGCGTCCCTCTACAGGAGGAATATCCACAAATTGTCAAACATAGTTCGTGGACGATGCTTCTAGTATTTCTGACTATGTTTGAATCTTGTTTGGCTTCTTTTGTGTCTCTTCGAAAGCCCGCCTGTAGGAGGACATTGTTGCTGTGTTGTTTTGTTATGCGTTTGCTCTCGTTATGTTTACGGTTTCGTGTTGTTATCATTATTATACTGCTCGTTCTCCTAATTCGGCGTCGCCCCAACATACTAATACTATGTGTGCGTCGCCCCCCCAGGGGCTACGCGCGCACCGAGATCTTGTAGTATAAGCGTTCTGGCGGGCGCTTTCTGCCCGCACCGCTCCGGAAACGATCTACTACAAGATGGGTATACTCTAGTATGTCCTTCTGCGTCCCACTAAATGACTCTGTTTGACTAGGTTTGCTTCTTGTTTGCCTTTTGCTGGTATGGTGTTTATTCAAAAGCCCGCCTGTGGTTGATGCTGTTGTTGTTGCTGTTGCTGTTGATGATGGTGTCGTTATGTTTTGTTATGTCATGTTAGGTGTTCTGGTTTTTCGTTGTCATCTTTGTGCTGTTGCTCGCTCCGCCCAGCTGTATACCTTATGCGATGCTTAAGAAAACTTAATTTTTCGGCCAGAGTCTCGATTATTCTTCATGTTTCGATGTAAATCCTAAGATTTGAATCGAAATGTTGGGTTTTTATTCAAGTTCTGAGACTGTGAATTTCTTAACCCATGATTTCTTAAGCATTTCGCAGGGTGTAGCTCTCCTCTGCTCCTCGGCCGTCTGCACGGGGGGCACGCGGCTCTCGCGGGACTGGCACCCCGCGGCCGCCCTCGCCGCCCTCGGCCTGGCCACGGCGTGGCTCTCGGTGATCGAGGGGGGGCAGGCCATCGAAGGGGAAGACAACGCCATCAGCATGCCCATCGGTCGTCGAAAACAGGTGTTTTTTTCGGGGGAGGGATAAGAAAAGGCATCCATACCTCCACCCCCTCGCCCGTTTCCCCCTTGGTGGGCCTCCTGGGGGGCCCTCGTCGCCACCGCTCGATTCGCCTCGAGATCCTGGTCGGAACGCAGCCCGGGAGAGGTCCGGGGAGTAGCGGTATCGGTATTTTCGGTCTCCCCAATTTTTGGAGTCCCAGATTCCAATCTACTGTAGGCGCCGTAGCCATTTTGGCTCAAGCCATTTTGGCTCAAGCCATTTTGGCTCAAGGGTGCCCGTCCCCTCCGGGTGCCCCCCCCCCTTGCCCTGGGGCCGGCGGGGGCTGGATGCCATGGGCGGGGTATCTCCAAACCCGGGTTGGTCTGGGGGGTCGCTGGCTGTCCAGGTCTTTGTGGAGGCCTCGGGGAGCGAGCGCCGTCCACGCCTCCCCTGAAAAATGCTGCATCGCCATGTGTCTTGCTCTGCGCAGGGAACCCGGGGCGCGGATGGAGGGTCGGGGGTTGGCGGAGAGCTTTGGCAAGCATGGTTTAGAGTGGTCGGGCCTTCCTTTCCCTCCTGTCTCCCCTTGCCTCTCTCCCCTTCCCCCCGCCTCCCCCTCCCTCCCCTCCTGCCGTCCCCCCCCCCCGCCCCGCCTGCTCCCCGTCATGGTTATCTTATCGCTATTGCACCACACTTGCAGTGCAGGGCCCGCACGTGTTTGCTTGCGCTGGTTCTCGTCGTCGGACGCGTTTGCTTGCTTTCGCTGCACGCGTGCCTCATGACTTTGCGTGCGCGCTCCACGCGTGCCTGATCACGCGCCTCATGTCACCCTGCTAAAGTGGTTTTGCTACCTCGCCTTGGGGCACGGATGAAGAATGCAGACCAGAGTGTTTGATATTCTGGGTGTTCGGGTTGCCTGCTTTCGCGTTGCACTAACCTGATTTGACTGTGTCACATTATGGTACTTGACATCTCCTCCGTCTGCTCGAGCCCGCGTTGGCGGACCGGCTGAGGTTGCTTGCCCTTGCCGTGCAGGGATATGTTTTGTTTTCGTTGTCTTGTGTTGCTTATTTAAGCGAAGCACGATCGAGCATAGCAGAGCCGTCACGGTGCAGTTTAACAGGAAAGGTCTTAAAGTTTCTCTGCTACCTCTGGGGGGGGGCACGTTTTGTCCGCCCCATCGGGCGCAACTCCGGAGACGGGGGGGGACAATTTGTTAACCTCTCTGTCCCGGCCACGTGGCCGATGCCACCGATGTGTTGTTGCAGTATGGTTAGAAAGCCTGAGCCTTTGTCACGGTGCAGTTTGGTTGGAAAGCCTGAGCCTATGTCACGGTGCAGTTTAACTGAAAAGGTCTTAAAGTTTCTCTGCTACCTCTGGGGGGGGCTCGATTTGTCCGATGTGTTGTTGCAGTATGGTTGGAAAGCCTGAGCTTTTGATGGCAAGCGGCGCTATCCCACTAAGTGGGATTGTGGGTGGCGCAAATCTGAAACTAGGCCCCGGGCCCCTGCGCTTCCCAAAGTGTCACAAGGATGTACACGTTTTGCGTCACAGTCGTGATGCGGGCCTTAAGGAATTGTTGTAGTGTGCGCGTCATCCCTCCAGGGTGTTTCTTGTCCAGTGCCTTTGTCACCGCTTGTTAGTCGGAGTTTGGGCTCCATTACCATAGGGCCCATCAGGTTCGCCACTTCCCCGCAGTTTCCGGCCGCGGCAGTAGGCAGGCATGGCGAGATCGAAATCCCGTTCGAGACGGCGGCGGCGCAGGGACAAGTCCCGGAACCGGGACAAGAAGCGCCGGAACCGTTCGACGGAGCAGGCGCACGACAAACATGATATCGAGGACAATGACGTGTCGCCGACACCCCCAGCCAGCCCCTGGGCTGCAGCACAGGCGCACAGTGATAGTCTTGCCCGCCAGCTGGGCGCCTTGATAGACGCAGATGGCGCAAAAACCGCAGCCCCAGTAGGCAGCCCAAATTCGGCACGTTCCCCTTTCGATGCGCCCTTTGACGTTCCGCCGCCGCCGCCCCCGCCACCGCCGCCCCCGTCTCCCAAGACAGCGGCGGGCGCGGGCGCCATTTTAGACCGTCCGCCGGGCGAGTGGCTAGCAAAGTCGCCGCCGCGCGTGCGGTTGTCTCCAGCTGTGCCTGTTTCCCCCGGGCCTCCGTCGGGCTCGCCCCCACCCCTGCCGCCGGGTTGGGAGCCGCGTTGGGCGGTTAATGGCGCGCTGTGCTACCAGAACAGGACAACCGGCCAGACGCGCTGGGACCACCCGGGCATAGTAGGGCCGCAGCGCAGCGTGGTGGAGCCACGGACTGCGCCTTCTCCACGGCCCGCAGCCGTGGAAGATGCTGTAGCGCGTCTCACTATGCAGATGGACGCCGTCCAGGCGTCGCGCCCGCCCTGGGGAAAATTTATCTCACCAGTCACGGGCGCCGAAGTGTGGCAGAACAAACTGTCGGGCAACACTGCGCACAATGAGCCGCAGGAGGTCGCAGCTTGGGCGGCCCAGGTGGCCGAGCTTAGCCAGGAGCTTGACCGCGCCCGCAGCGTTGCTCGTCCTGCCCCCCCCGCGGCTGCAGCGCGAGGCGCCGCAGCGCCCAACTTGGGCGCCGGCGCAGGCGGGATGCTTCGTTTTTGCACCCCTCGGTCGCAACCTCCGCCGGTTCCCGCCAGCCCCATGGCGAAGGCGGCAGTGCCGGTTGCGGATGCCGTGGAAACGGCCACAGCCAAAGAAGCAGTGATGGCCCTAAGGCGCTTCAGAAGTAAAGCTGAGCTCAACGCCGCAGTTGGCGCGTGGCATGCCCGCGTCCGTCAGCTATTCGGCGATTCCACGGACGGGCGCGTGCAGATGCAGGCCATTTTCGCGGCGAGTTGCACGTCCGAGGCAGACCTTTACCAGATTGTACAGGCGATGGGAGTGCAGATCGTCGCTGCCCCGCGAAAGGGCCAGGCAATTCTCATCCCCCCCCCCGTTCGCGTGTTCCAATGGGGACACCTCGCAGCTTGGGCTTGAGATAACGTGGAAGCTCTCGCCCGCTGTACGTTTGAGCGTGCAGCTCGTCAATAAGAAGCAGGGGAAGGTCGTAGCTAAAAGCCGGCGCGCCTCCTTCGAGTCTCACTTAGAGTAGGGATTCCTTTTCCTAGGCGGGCCCATCGAGGTTAAGGCGGCGGCGGCGCCAATTCCTCCACCAGCTGTGGGAGGCGCCGGCTTTATTGCATTCAAGCCCCACGAGCTGCTGCCCGAATAAGTTTTTTCGCGGCGCGGCGTCGGCAGGGGGCGCAGGAGTTGAGACCCTGTCGTTTCCCCTGCAGGGGCCGTTGCGGCTTCTTCTTTCCCACTCCCCCTTTTCTATCCCTTTGCGCCTGGCTCCACGCCGACCGAGGGCCGCACGGTCTATGAACCTATCTGTTCTGAGTGCGACGCTTCTGGGTTCGGCGGCCTGGGGGCGTGAAGCGGCTTGAAAATGCTACGCTACGCGGCAGGCCGCATCCACGGACATTGTCCCATTTGACTTGCCATTGTGCTCTTCTTCTTGTCGCCGCGTTCCCCCCTCCGCCGCCCTTTCCTTCCCCGTCCTTCCTCCCCCCCCCTCGCCCGCCCCTGTTCGCTTGCACGCGATATTGTCGCCGAGCGTGGCTTCGCTCCTCACGAGCCTCGTGCGTGTGGGTGTGGCGCGTGCCCGTGCGTGCGTGCTGCACTCGTGCCCGCGCGTGTCCTGTCTTGCGCGCGCATCATGAGCGTACTTTTGTCTTCCAACGTGAAGGCGGCTGACCCAAATTGCGCAGATGCGTTCTTTGTGGGAGGCGGGAGGCAGGCAAGCTGGAACAACATAAGATTGACATCATCACCTGCGAACTGTCAGATGTCGGCGCTGCCCGTGCCAAGCGGGGGTGCCACGGCGACTCCCATAGTTATCATGTTTTTTGCACCGCAGCGCGCCTTGCCGAGAGCATTCTGGGGACAATCTATTGTATTTGTCCCGCGCATTGTGTACCATGTTCAAGCTCGCCTCGCGAGTGGCATTTGTATGATTTTGCTGACTGCGTAACGGTCTGGATGCTGGTCGTGGGAATCGCAGTGCAAAGATAACTGCGCTTCCTGCCCGTGGTCGGGCTCCGGGGTGGGTGTGGGGCCGTCTTTTCCGCGGGATTTCCGAGCGAATGTAACTGCGATTCTATGGCTGTGACCCTGTGAAAAAGAGGGCCGGATGCAGAGCGCAGCATCAGTATATGAATTATTGTTGCTGTTTCGCTCTTGCGCTTGCTTTGGTATCTCCCCTGCCGTCTCTCCTTCCTCTTCGTCTCGCGCACACTAGACAGTTGGGATTGTTGTAGATGTCCCGTGCATGGGCTGATTGGGTTGGGGCCAGCGCGCTTGTCTTTGTAACCCCTAGGCGGGTGGTGGGCAGCAGCATTTCATGAGCGAAAACTGGCGTATCGTATCCAACTTCAGTGCGAGTAGCGTGTCGGGGTACCCCCCCACGAATTATTGGCGTCTTCTTGTGCCCTTGAAATCCCAGCCTGTGTAATATCACAAACAAGGATGCCGCCACATAGTTCGTGGATTGTTATCTGCATGTGTCTCATGTTTCCTTCCTCCCCTCATTGATGCATGCCGTGATGCACAGAAACTCAATGCAACGCAATTGTCACCAATTTCGGCGTCCATTTTGTTCGCTGCTGTCCGATGGTCGCCCGGCTCAGGACGCCATTGTTCTTGTCATGTCGCTATTGTTGCCGCGATTGTATGATTGTTGCTTATTTGCATTGCGTCGCAGTGAGTTGCAAGAGCAGACCCCTGGCGATACTTCGTCCCCACTCGCATCACCTGAGTGGCACGAGGAACACCCCCCCCGCCTTCCGGGCCAGATTTTTCGCGTGCGTCACGGTCGTGACGCGCTCGCTGGTCCCTCATTTTCGTTAGTGTGTTGCGCACTAGGTGCGCTGCAGTTTCGCCGCGCCCTCCGCCCCTGCTTATTGGCCCGAGTTCCGAGTTGGTGGAGTAGTCCTCCTCCAGCGCCGTCGCGATGGACCCAGACGGTCAGCACACGCGCGCGGCGGCGCTCGCCATGGAGCCGCTGCGGGCTCAGGTCGCGCACTGGATATCCCGGAAAGTCAGGCGACCGGAAGCTGCCGCAGCCCTCAGGGACGCAACTGCGCTCGCCGACATGGCACCTACCATCCCCGTAAGGGTTCATCAACGTCTAGGGGCCGTGGCTGACCCACTGTGGGCACTCTGCACGGCCATTGGGACTTTCATTCGGCGTGAGTTCGTGCCGGCCGTGGAGGCGATGGCAGCACGGTCCCCCCCTGTAGCGTCGCCGCTTGTAGGTGGGATGGTGTGCCCTGCAGTGCCCATCAACACGTCTGCCCAATCGCCGCAATCCGCATCTGCGCGGACCCAGTTGGCTGTAGCGATCCTCAACCCCGGCCGTTCCGGCTTCCTCCATCTTGGAAGCGATCTCATTTTAGAATGGCGGTTGGAAGCAGTCGCCCATGCATTAGACGACCGAGGAGGAGATCTTTGCATCCTCCCAGGGGCGCGCTTCCCCGCTGGGGTTACTCTGCCCGCGGGTTTTCCCTTCCAGTGGCTGGGCCCTGAATCGACGGGCTGGGATACCGTAGGTATTTTCATACGGCCGGGGCTGGAACACGCCATCCGCGCCATCCCGGAGGTCTCTTCTTCCAGGGAGCAGTGGTTCGAAATTTGGTCAGATGGGCCTGGCGACGCCCCTTCCATTATATTATGTGCCATGTACCCGGCTCACAGCGGTGACGTCGACACATGGGGTTCCATCGTCGCCCACGCGGGTTTGCTGCGCGCACGGTTTCCTCTTGCGCGGCTCCTTGTGGGAGGGGATGGGAATCCCCATCTGTCGTGCACCGTCGCTCACGGCGCTCATTGTCGTTGCTTGCATTGTCGTCAACGCGCCAATGATAAAGACATTGAGGCGTGGTTAGATGTAGCCGGGCTGCGGGCATATAACCCGCCAGTTCCTACGCATGTTTCAGGCACTTGTATAGATTTGTTTCTCGGCCCCCGGGGTGACCCGCTCCCTGTGAGTGTTGTCAACGAATTCGTCGGACTGTCTGACCATAAACTTGTCCTCGTCGACGTCCCCTGTCGGATTGCCGCACAGTGTTCGGCAGGGTTCGGACGAGTTGCTTGGACTTCTGGCGAGGAATGGGAGGCTGGCCTCCGCGAGGTTGCCAGCACGCTCCGCGCGCTCGCAATTGCAGTCGAGGCCGTTGAGACCTCCCCATGGCTTCGTCCGCCCTGGTACGGAGGCGGGGCGACTCGACTCCAGCGTCGCGTTATCCTCAACGTGGCGGCATGGTCTCGTGATGCAATCTACGCCTTAGTGGGGCACGCCTCCTCTGCCACACGGGTGGTGGGCTTGCCAAATAAAGTTCGATGCGCGCCCCAGCGCGTCTTCCTCGATCCGTCTGCTTTCCCGATCCACTCGGCCTTCAGGGAGGCGGCAACTGCGGCAGCGTGGCGCGAACGGCGCAAGGCTGTCCACCGTTACCTTGACCTTCGTGAGGTCAACGCGGGCGCGGCCGAACGCTTCTTGTCTGGCTTTTTAAAATCGTCTTCGACATTTAATATCCAGCTTGTGGACCCTGACACGGGGCGCGCCCTATCCACTGAGGGCATGATCGACCTCATTCGCGACGATCTTTTTGCTAGAGCCCATAATGATTTGCCACAGAATCTTAGTGATCGGGACGACCTGGCGCAGACTGTGACCGCTATCAGGCAGTCCGGAGCGGGCGCGGGGCTTACGTGCCCACAGAATCCGTGCACCGTCGTAGAGGTTGAAACAGCGCTGTCCCTGCTCAAGCCAGGGAAGCGCACGGTCCACCTTTGCAACGCAGCGTTGCGGGCCAAGGTTGAGGAGGGTTTCCGTTTGACGCGGGCCTTGCTGAACCTCGGCCGCGCGCTGTGCGCCACGGCTCGCCTGCGGTCACTTCGGCACTTTGCTCCCATCCGGAAGTCCGGGCCGGCGTCGGTGAGGAAAGTGTCTGCGCTTCGTCCAATATCCTTCACATCGGACATGGCTTCGGTTCGGGGCGCTGCGTGGATCGCGCGGAACGGGGCCAAGATTGAGGCCTATTGCGGACCCGCCCAACAGGGGGGGGTCGGCGATCCGGTCTCCCTTGCGATCGCACTCACAATGCATGCTCAGTTGCGGCATTCACAGAATCTGCCCACATGGTTGGCCGTCGCAGACAACAAGTGGGCTTTTGATGTTGCTTCGGTGAACGGCATGTTGCGCGGTGCTTTCCACGCGGGCGCGCGGGGGGCCGATTGGTTGATGTTGGATGACATTCTGGCACAAGATCACCAGGCCGTGGGCCCCCATAACCTGCTGTCGCCGGTTTTCGCCCATGGGCGCGGCACGGCCCAGGGCAGGCGTTTTGCAGTGCACATTTGTAACGCGCAGCTGAAAGCGCTGCCGGATGAAATCGCTGCCGCTGTGCCAGGAGGTTGCGCCACCGTGGTCCCGCCCCTAGCCAGGCGTGCCTTGCAATCTGCATGCGTGGTCTCCCCTCCAACAGACGTGGGGGCGATGCCTGACCGGGCGTTGCCCGTGGTGGCCATTTTGAACGAGGTGGCGCGCGCGGCAGCCACCGAGCTTCCGCCCTGGCCCAACTCCGAGGATACACTTGCTGCTTCGCTTCGTTCCCTGCTGGCCGTCGCGGACAGAGCCGCCGTAGCTGAGGCCGCGGGCTCCTGGCACATGCCGCCGGCACAATTTGTCGACGACCTCGCGACCGCGTGCCCATCTGTAGGAGCCGCGAGGGCAGGAATCTCCCCGGAGGAGTCCTCCGCGTGCAGCCGGTACGCTCGCAGGTTCAAGTCTTTCTTCTTGCGCGAGAAAAACAAAACTTGCGTGCTCCCAGTCCTCGGCGCAAGCCGCCCCAGGCTGGCCGATTGCCCTTCCGTGGAACGCAAAGTCATGTTGGGCATCTTGGTGGACTCGGACTTGACGTTCGCGCCGCTTCTCAAAGAGATCCTAGCCATTGGCTATAGTTGCTTTTCTAAGCTGCTCTACGCTGCGGAATCCGGTGGCTTTTCCATCCCGGTGGCAGCGGCGCAGGTCCCAGCGCGGGTAGAATCCGTGATTCTTTATGCCTGCCCGCTTTTGGCGGCCGCGCCGGGGGCTGAAGCGGCCCTCAATAAGATGCAAGTGAACTGGGGCCGGCGGCTGTTGGGGTGCCACCACGGGCCCCCAATCCAGCGCGCGGTAGTTGTCGCCCAATGTGGCTGGCCCATGCGCTTAGGGACGAAATTCTTAGAGAAAACGCTCATGGCAAGGGCGCGTCTCATGCCCAAAGCATCTTGACCTCTCAAAAACGAAGGGTTGGAGGGTTGAAGGGTTGCCCTGGGGTTGGCTACCTTAGTTACGCTTCCCCCAACCTTAGTTACCCTTCGCCCAACCCTTCCCCCAACCTTAGTTACCCTTCGCCCAGCCCTTCCCCCAACCTTAGTTACCCTTCGCCCAACCCTTCCCCCAACCTTAGTTACCTTAGTTACCTTAGTTACCCTAGTTGCCTTACTTGCCTTTGCCTTGGTTTCAATTTCAATGCCCCAGTCAATATCATACAGAAAACTGGCTGTTTGGGAACGGGCGCGGGGCCAAAACGCAAGTTCAGGGCAAGGGTGGTAGCCATCTTCAGGGTTAACCATCACCCCTTCATTTTTGCGGTGCAAGGACCACGCACAGTCGGCGAATAACTGTTGTGCTCGCTGTCGCGCTGCACTGCGATAGTCCTCGCATGCGCGGCGCAAAGGCGAGAGCCACAGTTTAAAAAGAAAGTGCCCTCTATCCGCGTGCACTTGCGATCAACTTGCAAGGCGAATGCGCGGGGCGCTACGGCGAGGGCCACATTTTGAACTCCGCATCCCCATCCATCCGTGCAGCTGTTGCAAACGTTTAAGACGAATGCGGCGCGCATGCGAGAGCCACATTTTGAATCGCGGTTGTGGTCATCAACGTTCACGTCGTCATTGCGTTCGCCTCTCGCCCTCCCCTCCCCCAACCCCTCCTATTCCACATCCTCCTATAGCCGTTTTGGGTCAAATAGGTTGCCAGCCGCTGGTTGTTTCTTGCTTACAACGCATAATTGGCATTGTTGTGGCCATGGCTGTTCCGCGTCTCGTGACCAATAACGCAGTTGCGGCCCAGGACTACGAAGACATGTTTGCGAAGGCTCACCAGAGCTCTGGGTGCATGGCGATCGACGAGATGCTAGTCGACCCGAAAAATAAAACCCACCAGATCACGCCTGATGACATCTCCCGTTGCTCACCATTGGTCGAGGCGATGCTCCGCGCTGGCCTGAAGAACGCAGCGATGTGCCCTGCTAAGTTCGAGCTTGGGCTCCGCGACGCTGCCTTCGCCCACCGCGCCCTCTTCAAGGCCAGCGGCGACGCCAAGGAGCTCGCTGTGGCCAAGCTCCGCACGCACGTCTGCTGCGCCCTGGGTGTGTTGAGGACGTTCAAGCGCGAGCAGCAGGGGGCTTCCTCGGGGGCCGTCCAGAAGACCAACGGGCTGAAGAAGAGGTCCAGTGCAGCCCAGCTGGTGCTCATCAACTCGCTTTGTTCCAAGATCGAGTTCGACGCGGAAGACCGCAGCGTCGCGAGCAGTCGCGCGCAGTCGGCGGACCCGCCCATCGAGAGGCCCAGGGAGACCGCAGTGGTAGCTCGATCACCTTCGGGGCCCCCGACGTGCTTCAAGCAGTTTTTGGATCGTCGGTTGGAAGCATCTGGCGCAGCTCAGTTCGGAGTGCCCATCTGGGCAAACTTGGACGAGATGGAGGCGCATTGGACTTCTTCCCCCTATCCCTGCACATCTTCAAAGGAAAATGAATTGCTTTCTAGGTACTCCTGTTCCTATTCCTGCTCCTATCCTTATTCCTTATTAGAATATACTCCTACTCCCCCCTCAGGCCGGCCGATAGGGGCCGCATCCGGGTGGTCCCATCCTAACTTGTAATAAAAACAATACAAAATCAACATGTTTCTTATTTTTTCCTCTCGACATGGACGTCCTGTCGTCCACGGCGACAATCCATTGCAAAAAATACGACAAAGAGCACACGCGCGCGTTCATGTCAGAATCCTACCGAACACCGTGTGTTTGCAAGCATTTCAACATAAAAACATCAAAAACCCAATGCTTTTTTCACAAAAATTCTACAATTTTCCTGCCCGCCTCTCTTCCTGAAATCATAAGAAAACCATAGGAATCTTAAGAATTCGGTCAAATCCAGCGATTTCACGTCATCGCGCGGTGCACTCGCGATGCTCTGTCATGCACCCAGGCCGCGAATCCTGTGCAAAAAATACCACGCGGGCGACATGCGCGCGCGTCGCCGCGAGCGCATGCTCAAATCCTTCTAGAGTCGTCGCCGTCATTGGCACCGTCGCATGGACGTCCTGTCGTCCACGTCGCAAAATGCATAGCAGGAATGGGACGCGGCGCACACCCCGCGCCCGCCCATCCAATCCGTCCCATTCTAATCTGCAAAAGACAATACACAGTTTTTGTTTTTCTTGTCAACATGGTCGTGCTGTCGTCACGTCGCAAAATGCGTGGCAGGAATGGGACGCGGTGCGCACCCCGCGCGAAGGGGTGACATGTCGCTCTCGCCTCGGCGCCGCGCACCAACGTTTTTCCTCTCAGCGTGGACGTCCTGTCGTCCACGTCGCAAAATGCCTGGCAGGAATGGGATGCGGCGCACGCCCCGCGCCCGCCCATCCAAACCCCCCCTTTATAAAAAAAACAGTACAAGTTGGGGCCTTCAGGCTTCCTGCGGTGTACCGGGCCATTCTCGACTCGTCTGGCAATGCGTGCGCGGCATTCAACGCGCGCTCGCCAGTTCCCGTCGGCAACCGCCATCGCGGCCGCATCAGCTGTACCAAACCGGCTGGCCGGTGTGACTTCGGCCCCCAGTTGTGCCAGCTTTGCTTCTTATGTTGTGGGGGGGCGGGTGGGACTGGGCATGCCATGCTTGACTCGCTCGAGCTGGCTAGCTTGACTCCTACTTCTACTTCTAATTCTACTCCTACTCCGACTCCTACTCCTACTTCTACTTCTACTTTTACTCCTATCCTTATTCCTTATTAGAATATACTCCTACTCCCCCCTCAGGCCGGCCGATAGGGGCCGCATCCGGGTGGTCCCATCCTAACCTGTAAAAAACAATACAAAATCAACATTTTTCTTATTTTTTCCTCTCGACATGGACGTCCTGTCGTCCACGGCGATAATCCATTGCAAAAAATACCACAAAGAGCACACGCGCGCGTTCATGTCAGAATCCTACCGAACACCGTGTGTTTGCAAGCATTTCAACATAAAAACATCAAAAACCCAATGCTTTTTCACAAAAATTGTACAAATTTCCCGCCCGGGCTCTCTTGCTGAAATCATAGGAAAACCATAGGAATCTTAAGAATTCGGTCAAATCCAGCGATTTCACGTCATCGCGCGGTGCACTCGCGATGCTCTGTCATGCACCCAGGCCGCGAATCCTGTGCAAAAAATACCACAAAGAGCACACTCGCGCGTTCATGTCAGAATCCTACCGAACACCGTGTGTTTGCAAGCATTTCAACATAAAAACATCAAAAACCCAATGCTTTTTCACAAAAATGCTTTGGGGTGTCCTGTCAGACCGTCGGGCTTCCTCCGGCCACCTCTGGCTTCCTGCGGTGTACCGGGCCATTCTCGACTCGTCTGGCAATGCGTGCGCGGCATTCAACACGCGCTCGCCAGTTCCCGTCGGCAACCGCCATCGCGGCCGCATCAGCTGTACCAAACCGGCTGGCCGGTGTGACTTCGGCCCCCAGTTGTGCCAGCTTTGCTTCTTATGTTGTGGGAGGGCGGGTGGGACTGGGCATGCCATGCTTGACTCGCTCGAGCTGGCTAGCTTGATTCCTATCCTTATTCCTCATTAGAATATACTCCTACTCCCCCCTCAGGCCGGCCATTAGGGGCCGCATCCGGGTGGTCCCATCCTAATTTGTAAAAAACAATAAAAAAAAAAAAAAACATTTTTTTTCTTATTTTTTCCTCTCGACATGGACGTCCTGTCGTCCACGGCGATAATCCATTGCAAAAAATACCACAAAGAGCACACGCGCGCGTTCATGTCAGAATCCTACCGAACACCGTGTGTTTGCAAGCATTTCAACATAAAAACATCAAAAACCCAATGCTTTTTCACAAAAATTGTACAAATTTCCCGCCCGGGCTCTCTTGCTGAAATCATAGGAAAACCATAGGAATCTTAAGAATTCTGTCAAATCCAGCGATTTCACGTCATCGCGCGGTGCACTCGCGATGCTCTGTCATGCACCCAGGCCGCGAATCCTGTGCAAAAAATACAACAAAGAGCACACTCGCGCGTTCATGTCAGAATCCTACCGAACACCGTGTGTTTGCAAGCATTTCAACATACAAACATCAAAAACCCAATGCCTTTTTACAAAAATGCTTTGGGGTGTCCTGTCAGACCGTCGGGTTTCCTCCGGCCACCTCTTGGCTTCCTGCGGTGTACCGGGCCACTCTCGACTCGTCTGGCAATGCGCGCGCGGCATTCAACGCGCGCTCGCCAGTTCCCGTCGGCAACCGCCATCGCGGCCGCATCAGCTGTACCAAACCGGCTGGCCGGCGTGACTTCGGCCCCCAGTTGTGCCAGCTTTGCTTCTTATGTTGTGGGGGGGCGGGTGGGACTGGGCATGCCATGCTTGACTCGCTCGAGCTGGTTAGCCTGTCTCCTACTCCTACTCCTACTCCTCCTACTACGACGAACCATTACGAATAATAATACTCATAATGTCGTGGACCCTAATCATGGTACGGCTGGGCCCTGGGGTTCCAGAAAAACTTGCGACCTCGAACTCAATGGCACATTTGTAGCAGCAAAGGACAACGCGGGCGCAGGGGGAGGGCGCCTCGCAAGGCAGAGGCGGCGCCCGAGGAGCTCGGATCCGAAGCGGCGCCCGCGCCTCAGCGCGGCGAGATGGCACCGCCGCTTTCCTCCGGCGCTGCGCCGTCGGCCTTGGCGGCGCCCATCCTGAACCCGAAGACTCGCAGGCAGGATGTGTTGGACTCTCGTGCTCAGTGCAAGGACAGCAGTGAGACCCCCGACAAGCTTGACAATAACAGTACCAGCAAACCTACCACCAACAACGTTGGCCAGGGCAAGGATAAGACCAGGCGCAAGGACAGGGATGACACTCAGGACGCTCCCCCCATGAAGCGGGTGGCCAAGGCCAAGGCCAAGGCCCAGGCGCAGCCCAACGATCCCAGACTTGAGAACATCCGCCTGAGCGGGCCAACGAACGAGACAAACCCCAGGGTCGAGATCGTGGCATACGAGGTAGGGACGGGCAAGCGGACGCATGTCTTCACGGTCAACAAGAACCGTGACGGCAAGACATTCGCTCGGGTCGCGAAGCAAGTGAAGGCCCACTTCGACTACGTGGATGGGGGGTTTCTCCGCTCGGAGGCCATCGCCATGAAAAACTCACTGCTGGCTTAAATGAGGCTGAGGGGCCGCATTTGTGTCGAGGCGCCTGCACGATCTGCAAGTATGCGCTAGCTGCCAGAAGTATGGCGCTGCAGGTAACCACGTGCATTTTTCGTGAACGCATGTTAGAGCATGTTATGTCAGTGTTGTGCACTGACTAGCTGGGGGCTCTCATCTGCATGCATGCACACTGCAAGCATCCTTACCGTTTCGAGGGGACATTTGGCGCGCGCGAGACAAGTAGACCAGCCTATTCCTTCCTATGACCAGCCGATCCCTTCCCCCCCCCTCTCCTCCCCCTCTCCTGGCTTCCCCTGCATTCTCCGTGATCCCTGCCATATCCTATTCCTCTCTACCCTCCCCGCCACCCCTGCCTCAGCAAAATAAGCTGACAGGAAGTTAACGAAACAGATTGATGCGTCGAGTTGAAGTACGAGCTGGAATGAGGACGACTTTGGGATAGGAGTAAATGTGGCCACAATTCGCCGCGCAATTTCTCGGGCCCCGCCCCCCAAAAAACAACCCATTGAAAATAATGAGTTGCGCGTTGCAAACAGAAGAAATTCGCAATGGTGCCGCGCGATTAATCAGACTTTGGCTGCGCATGTGATGGGCAAGGGATTACACTCGGTATCTTTGGTTTCCTCCTTCGTTTAGGCTCAAGCAATCGGGCTGAGGCAATCGCTCGCGCAGGGGTTGAGCAACCCGACGTTCAATCCAACCTTTCGTCGAGGATATGGTCATGTCGAGGCCCGCCGCCGCCGAGCCCGCTCCTGGGAAACGCCCCGCTGCCGCTTCCGTCTACGGCTGCGCCAGCAACGAGGACGACGCCAAGAAGGCCAAGTGGGTCGTCAAGGCCGAGCGGCCTCCGACTGATCCTGGCGAGGACGACGAGGCGGAGGCGGAGGACGACGCCCCTGATACCAGCTCCGTCACCCGTCAGCAGAGTCACGTCTTCGAGGGGATGCTCCCCACGCTCCCGAAGGCGATCCAGGATAAGTGGCAGGCGCTACCTTTTCCTCATCCTCCTTCTCCTCCTTCTCCTGCCCATCCCCATCCTCACTTTCATCTTGGATCTCCTCGTCGTCCTGCTTCTCCTCCTTATCACCCTCCTCCTCCAGTTTTTAAAAAACCGATTTGAAAACCACGGTTCGTCCGGTACGCTTCTCCTTTCTCCTCGTCCTTCCCCGCAGCAGGCGCTCCAGAACCAGAAGGGCGCTAAGGGGGTCACGCAGCAGAAGGACGCCCTTCGCAACGCCGTGGTCAAGAAGGACGCCACCTACGAGCTTTCGACAGCCAACCTGAATGACGTGAAGGCTGCTCAGGAGCTCATCGTCAAGAACGAGGAGAAGGCTGAGAGGAGGGATGACGGCGTTAGTTGGAGCACGACGCGGCGCTTGTACAACTTCAACGACGAGGCCCTCAAGGAAGCGATCGACAAGCGCCACGTCTGGTGCGAGGAGGACTCGGATGGCGAGGAGCTCTGTTACGAGAAGAAGAAGAGTCGCGTCAAGACGGACACAGTGGAGAGGAGCAGGAAGTTCAAGCAGAACATCGATGTGAAGGACCTGGACCACTACAAGCAGATGATTGTTGACTCCTGCCTGCAGAACAAGGCTTGGCTGCGCAACGCGTTCAAGCCCATGCAGCAGACCAGCTCCAAGTCCAAGGCGATCTGCGACATGCGCTCCGACTCCGTGGACGCCGACATGATGAAGACGATGCAGGACGCCTGGGGCGCGACCACGCAGCTCGCGGCAGACGCAGGCATCGTTTTCTTCAAACTAAAAACACAAAACACACAAAACAAACATTACAAATAACCAGGCCTCCTCGCGCAGAGGGTCCAGCGTGACGAGACGGAGTCGAAGGCGAACCACGACAGGGCGTCGGACGTGATGAAGCTGCTCAAGGCGTTCGCTGGTCCTTCCGCCGAGATCTTGAGCTACCTCTCGAAGGATATGAGGTCGCTTGACCGCAAGAAGTGCAAGGATTTGCTTGAGACCTGCGCCAAGCTCTTCCTGGATCTCGAGACGGCGCACCAGTTCCTGATCGAGAAGTCCGCCCTGAGCAAGAAGGACAAGAAGGCGAAGCTCAAGAACCTCGGCGCGATCAAGAGCAGCTCCTGAGAAGGTACTTCCCAGACCAAAACTCAAGAGAGACACACTCGGTTCCGTCAAAAAATAACACCAGATTTGAAGCAATGTTCGAGGTCAATCGAACATCCATCGAAAAGCCATCGACAATCTATAGATTTTCGATGGCTCCATCGAGAATCTATTGATTTGCAATGGTTTTTCGATGGATTCTCGATGGAGGCTTCCGTGTGCAATAAAACGTTATCTAAAACAACATCATGTTTGGATGATTTTGTATTCATTGAGCTATGAGTTTGGTTACTGAATGCCGTTTTGGGTGTGCGAAGGCTTCCGGGGTGCAGTCGGAGCCTGTGAGATTTGGTCTGGATCGACGCCCGACCGATGAAACTGACCCAGGGGGGCCGAGGGAGATTGAGGGGAACTGAGTGGAACTGAGGGGGACTGAGGGGCCCACGCGTTGACCTGACGTCCGACGGCGGTTTTTCCACGGTCGGGCGGAACCCCGCTCGGGGGTGCCTGGACGACCATTCCGTGTGGAAAAACATAGGAAAATAATTATGCCGTTTCTCTGTCGGGCCTTCAAACAGCATGATTAATTTCCCGTGACTTGTGGCCGGCAAAACCCCGATCCAGGACCGATTTTTAACGCTGGCCAGGGACTGCTTTCAAACTCGTTCGTGATCCTGGGGGGGACTGAGGGGGGGCCAGGGGGCGATGAGCCTCGTGGGAGGCATTTTGTGGTGGGAACTGGTATAATTTGTGAAATGTTTAAACCCTCTGTAAACCCTGGGTGTCTAAAATTCGAGTGCCTAGGTGATTTTCTGGCCCAGCTTGTGCGTTCAGGTAGCCTAATTCCAAATGAAACCCGATGGGGGATGAAGGGGGCTGAGAGGGACTGCCTGGGACTGAGGGGGACTGAGGGGGACGGATGGGGGATAGAGGGGGACTGACGGGGACTGAGGGGGGCCGAGGTGCCCATGACGAGAGGGGGGCAGAGGATCGGTCACGAGGCGAGCGACTCGGATTTTGCTTTGCTGCATTAGTTACGTGATCTCTGGAGGGAGTGATTCTTAGAGCTCACACGCGCGCTTGCTCGGTTTTGCGAATTTGGGGTGCGCATGGCGCCTGTCGTTGGACAGTCCGGCATGGGTCGGGCTCGCGACAGTGAGGAGTAATGATGCTTTTCTGGTTGACCCATGACTGCACTTCTCTGTATGTCTCCTGCCTGCTTTTCATATTCCTCTTGCTCCTGCTGCTCCTCCTCATGCCCCTCCTCCTCATCCTTCTCGCGCTTACTATTTGTCGTCCTCGTCGGCGCAAGCGTCCCATGGGTCCACCAGAAAAGCAATGGCGCCTGATGCGCGACGGCATCACCACGAGCAGCGAGTTTGTTTAATAGCCGTACAGTTTTCTCCGAGGTGTCAAACTTTGTTTGGCGAAGTTGACAGCGACGTGGCTCGTTCTCTGCAGCAGCAGCCAACTGAAAATGCAAGGAGCACCGTTACTCCCCCTCATAGTCTTCCCGTGCAAATGGCACCTCCATACGATGACCCGCAATGTTCGAACCATCGTCATTATCAATGCAACCATCCCGTGATCCCCAAACAACGCTTGCATTTCAATACGTATGTTTCGACTTTAGAAACAGGGTTGCACATCTCACAGATAGCAGCTTCTCTGTTCGACGATGTCTGTCTGTCAGCGCCGACACCTCCTGTCTGTCAGCGCCAACGCCTCCTTTTACGTTTGTCGGCGCCAACACATATTGTATGTTGTAAGCCAAGAGCGGGGGGCAAACGTACCTGGGTTTGGGGTCCACGCATTTCTTTGGGACAAGCGAATGTCGTCGGTCAGAGCAACGAACCCGGCTACAATCGTCACCGCGATGAAACCGTCACAACCGCCAACCGTTGCCATGCTCAGGGGCCCAAGTCAGGCCCTGCGTTTTGCGAGGCGATGGGGTCTGTCGAAGATCGGCGGGCTCTCTTGCTACATATTTCCCGCAGCGGTGGCATTCGGCAACGGCAGCGGGCTCTAGAGGAGTTGCAAACACTTGGCGGTGGCGAGGTGGTCGAGCCATCGAGGTTCGATTCTGCACTGTGCAGAAAACTGGTTCGGGATTGGGCTTGGGGCTACAAGCCTGCTGTCGAACTTCAACGAATTGTTTTTTTTTTTTCGTATAAGGACGAACGGAAGATCCTCGGCGACAGGCCTGGTTCTCGCATGTTGGAGCACATCGCCAGGCTTGGGGCATCTGGTCAGCGACCAGGTGTTTCGCCCCTCCTCATTCTCCTCGTGCCTCCCCATCCCAAGATCTCCGCGAGCATCTTCATGCTTATTCCGCGCCCTTTTCCTGCCCTTCTCTCCCCATTATCCGCTTGCCTATCCCCTTCCCTCCCCCCAACCTCCTGCGCCCCAGGGAACGCGAACGGGGAGCTGAAGACATGCGCGGGTGAACCGAACGCACCGAAACCAGATTCGTGCATTGCGCACGTGCTGACCCAAAAGAAGAGGCGCGAGCTGCATCCACTGATGGCGCCCCCTAGTGTTGTAGCGACAGTGCCAATGGAATTCTTACTTCCGCATGTGGTGATGGCAAATTTGTGGGCCCAGGACAACGATGGCTTTCGTAACACTATTCTTCCTGAAGGGCATGGCCCCAGGGCGTTTTGGTCGGAGGTACAGCGACGCGGCGATCCCAGATTGGATGGACACCCAATGCTTGCAAGGGCAGGGTGGCAAGACAACGCCATTCCCATAAGCATCCATGGAGACGCAGTTCCTGTGACAGGTATAGGAGGCCACCACACCAAGTCGCTAGATTGCATTTCGTGGCAATCGCTTTTCGCGCAAGGGGGTGCGATTCGCCAGATCAAGAATTACACGTTTGGAATATTTGAAGACTCCAAGGCGACCGTCGTTCCCCATGGTTTCGACACGATGGACGAGGTGTGGCGCATTATCGCTTGGTCTTTAAACGCGACGTTCGAGGGGAGCTGGCCGAGCACAGACCACCTTGGAAATGTATACAACCAGAATGATTCGCCATCAGAGTTCGCCCTCGCACGAAAACCATTGGCTGGGTCATTATTTTTTTCGTTGCCTGGGGCATAAAGGGAGACTTGGATTATTTTGCAAAGGGACTGGGTCTCAAGCATTATGGGCGAGATGATTTTTGCGAGCGTTGTCCATCCACCATCGCGACTGGTACTCCGCCGACACTGCACTCTTACAATTTCAATCCAGGGGCTGTTTGGATGTCGAACGTTACATCTTGCAGTGCCTGGCGCGCTGCGAACGCAGGTTCTTTCCACAGGCTGTTCTCGAGCATCAGCTACTTATCGTGCGCCAACTTGGAGCCTGATGAACTCCACGTCCTCCACTTGGGCGTTTCAATGTGGACGCTTGGGTCTGTGTTGTGGCTGCTGACGCACAAGGTGCTGGGTGCTTCTGCCACAAACAACATTAACCAGATCTGGGCGTGGATATTGGACGAGTACGAGGCGTGCGACGGCACGTCGCAGCACCCTACGATGGGGCTGAGCGGGTTTACGAACCCCAAGGCGCCAGGCAAACACTACCCGAAACTGAAGGGCAAGGGCGCCCAAGTCAAGCACATCGTCGCTCCTGTGCTCCGCGTGTGGGTCCGCTGCAGGGCTCAGATCGAGGCACTCGATGGCGGAGCTGATCTGTTCTTGCGAGTTCGAACGTTGCTCGGGCACTTGACTAATATCCAGGAGCTCATCGATGTTCATGCGCAGGACGCTTTCATGTCGGTTGGCAACGCTGCTTCGCTCAGGAGACAAACATATTCTTTTCTGCGCCTGTATAGTGTCCTCGGCGCAGCGGCGGATGCAGAAGGTTTAGAGTTGCTATGGAACATGACTCCAAAGTTCCATTGGCTTTGGCATTTAGCTGACAGGGCTCGGTTCCTCAGCCCTCGCCGCGGGGCGTGTTGGATCGACGAAAGTTTCGTTGCTGTCATGAAGAGAGCAGCCAAAGCCTCCGCGTTTGGCACTCCTTTACATTTGATTCCCAAATCGGTTATGTCCAAATACAGGTGGGGCATCTATTGCGAGAGTTTAGAATGGAATGCGACATGCTGTGTTTTTCTTGTATGTGGTGCGCGAACATTCGTTTGCCGCGTGCTGCTTTTACCTAGGTCCTTCGATAATAAGCGCTCTTGCTCTTTCTGGAACGCATTGGCCCGTGGACTGACGAAGGCAAACGGTCGAACCGTCTGAAGTGTATGCAGGTGGGGCGTACAAGTCCTGGACCTCACCCCCCCCCCTCGATCCTCCCCCCCCCCTCGATCCTCCCCCCCTCTTAGGTGAAAGAAGAATGGGACGATGAGGAGGATGAGGAGGAGGGGGAGGATAGAGGGGAGATGAGGTTTAGGACCTGTACGCATCACCTCAAGACCCCTATTCCTCCGACTAGCAGTGCCACCTCCGCGCCTGAGACTTGTTCACGATGCGGTTTCCCCACGATTCACATGCAATCTATTAGTGTGCTTGAGACTTCTTCACAAATGTTTCTGGGTCGGCGCTTCAACCGTTCTCGCTACTTGTTCAATGTCACGGTGCTTTGCCGCTCCCCGACGGCGCCGTCACGGCTTTGCCCCCGCTCTGTTTCAGAGGCTTCGCCTCCTCCGCCAGCCCCCTCCGTACCCGACGAGAATATCTTGATCGAATTTCTCTGGGTTTTTCCCCAGAGCTTGAATTTGAGATTGATTTGGGGCTGTTTGAGGAGCATTTTGGGGGATCCCAGGCGGTAACCCTTCAACCCTTCAACCCTTCAACCCTTCCCTCAACCCTTCAACCCTTCGCCCCAACCCTTCCTTCAACCCTTCAACCCTTCCCCCCAACCCTTCCCTCAACCCTTCAACCCTTCCCCCAACCCTTCCCCCAACCCTTCAACCTCAGGGGCTCAACCCTTCAACCTTCAACCCTTCCCTTCAACCCTTCAACCCTTGATTTCTGAGGTCCCGGGATGCTTTGGGTGGTCCTCCCGGTGGACCACCCAGGGGCCGTGATGCTGCGGGCGGCCCATTCCTTGGCTACGCCCACGTGGGAGTCTGCTGTTGTTGCCTTAGCCCGGCGCCTTGACCCCTCTCCTCCGGACCTGGACGGTCACGCTCTCTTCCCTCCAGCGCTGCTCCAAGAGGCACGGACGTGTCCGAATTCTCGCAGAGATGTGCTCAGAACGTACCGCACTGAAGTCCTACGTCCGACACTTTTGAAGTATGACCGCGAAGCTTTCGCGAAAGCGGCCGCGCAGGTCCTGGCACCTTTTCGCCGTTCTTTTGCCGCTCTTTGCTCTTTCCCATCGCCGCTCGATCCAACTCTCCTGGCCAGCGAGCCCAGCCCTGCCTTCTGGATTAATTTTCGCTTATGGGCAGTGGCGCGGATGACTGGCAGGTGGCCTCTGTCGGTGTTAGGCGGCAGGGAGCACCCCGCCTCCTTGCGACGGTGCAGAGCCTGTGGGCGCCGGAACGCTTCTCTGCGACACGCCCTGGTCTCGTGCCCCTTTTACGCCAGCGACCGCCGGGACTTGTTCCCAGGCGACGTCCCACCCGACCTGATACTCCAGCTGCTGTTTGGGGACCACACCAGCCCCAGCAGCTTCATCGAGCATATTTCTTTTGTCGGGAAGGTCATTCGGTGTTCTGCGCCGCTGTCTTCTTCCTCGTTTTCCTCCTCTTCCTCCTCTTCCTCCTCCTCCTCCTCGTCCTCCTCCGGTTGAATGTTAGTCTTGCAGCTTTGCCCTTTGAGGCCGGGTTCGCACGTGTACCTCTTAATGTGATGGCCTTCGGGCGCCTCGGCATGCGGACGTTGTCACGCTCGTGGCGCGCAGGCGGCATCGTCATGATATTGATTGCTATCCTCTTGCGTCCCAGTCGCTGTGTTTTTTGCCCTCCCCTCTTCTTCCTCCTCGTCTCTCGCCTCCTCTGAGCACTTGCTTCTCGGGTATTTGTATACTTGCCCCTTTTCCCGAGTGTGACTGTGGTTGGGTATGCCCGTCGCCTCCCCGGCCGCTGTGTCGCTTTACCAGGCTGTGCTTGGGGGAGCGGTGCTGTGCCTCGGGGTGTGGAGGGGGGGATGCACTGACGAGCCCTTGACCGCAGCTAGTGTAACCTAGACGCGGCCCGGAACCCTGGCGTGCGGCGCTGCCCGGTTCTCCGGGGAGAGCGGCGGTTTTCGGGCGGCGTCCTCCCGCCGCGCTCGCCTCATTCATGTTGTGCCAGCAGGGGAGGGAAGTGGTGTGTAACACCACCGCCTATCCGTCGTCGGCTGCCGGGCCCAGATCTGCATTCGCCGGGCAGTTCTGAGTCGCAGCAACTGGGGGCCGGGCGCTGGCGCCAGCGGCCGGGCGCCGGCGCGCGCACCCCAGACGCTGTCGAGATGCGAAATGCGAAATGCGAAAAAAAATCGAGAGGCCTCACCTTTTCCGTCCTCCTTGGGGGGCCGGCGGACACCCAATCTATTGTCAACGCCTTCCTACTTAATGTTTCTACCTACTTCTTACGGCCGATGGGACCTTTGGGCGCTCCGCGCGGATCTCTTGGATGCGCGCTGGGCCCCCCCGAGGCGGCGCCGCCAGCGCCGCCTTTGGCCCGCTCCGCGCGCCAAAGGAGGGGGGTCCGGCGCGGATCCAAGAAATCCCTGGTCCGCGCGGAGCGCCAACGGTTTACAGTGGGGACCCATGCCAAGAAACACCTTGCTTGCCTCCAGGGTGCCCTGGGTTTCTTGGGTTTCGATGGTCCTGCGATGAAAATTGCGACGCTCCCACGCCAAGAATCAGTGGACGCACTGGGGCCTCAGGGTTTGGATTTTCTTGTGGAAGATTTCTTGTGGACAGACCTCCACTGTAGTTTTGTGCACCGCCAGAAAGCGAAAAAGACAAAGCGCACGGGGCCACCCGCGTGGATCTCTTGGATCCGCACGGGGCCCCCCGTGGCGGCGCCGCCAGCGCGGCCCCTGGTGCGCCCCGCGCGCCAGGGGGCCCGGCGCGGATCCAAGAAATCCGCGCGGAGCGCCAAAAGTTTATGCTTATGCCGATTTTTCTTCTTCTAAGGCCTCGATTGTCGGGCTCGCTCCCGTCCGGGCGGACCTGTACAAGGACAGCCACCCCATCGTGGAGGTGTCGGGAAGGTCTTGAGGTGGCCAGGCACTGGTTCTGGCCAGCAGGCAGGGCGTCCAGGCTCGAGGCTTCTGGGTTCGGGAAGGTTTTCTGCTATTGACGTTTCAAGCATCAGCAGGCCGTTTTCGGGCCCCTGGGCCATGAAAACGGATCCTGGCTGAAAGACTGCATTAGATGGACCCCAGGAGAGGTCTGTGGATCGATTTTGAGCGGATTTGGCTTGATCCCCCCTCTTGACCGATTTTCTGGGGTCCCAACCAGTTCGAACCTTCCAGTCGCCTCCAAACCCCATCGCCCACCAGATCACGGCGCTCGCCCACCGCGAGAACAACCTCAGTTGTTACCTCGTCGGGCGGCAGTTCCTGGTCGTGTTGGTGGTTTTTGTGACGAGCGTGTCGGGTGCCCCGCTTGATGATGTGACTGCTCTTGGCTTGCCTGGCCTCTTACGGGCTGTTTTCGTGTCGTCTGGCATGGCGATGACTTTGATGCTTACCATGATCGGCCAGCTGGCCTCTCAGGTCAATGCTTCGCATTGCATGCTTGATTTTGTTAGCACTTACGCCAACTGGTTCACGGTCTATGTAGCATTGGCCATCGAGTTCTCGGGCATCCTCCATTCCGCCTACCTTGTGCAGTGGATAGTTGAGAAAATGGCAGGCCGGCAAGAGCGAATTTCGAGTAAACGAGGCACTGCCCTAAGACGGTTCATCTTCGTTGGCCGAATCATCATGTCGGTGTGCATTTTGGGGCTTGCCTTCGCGGTAACTGGTGCTGCGCTCTTCCAGAGGAAGACTACAATGTGGCAGGGCGTACCAGAGGTTGTCTCCGTGCTCATGTTTTTCTTCCTTATGGCGATCGTCGGCATGCTGGAGGGTGCACAGATTGCTTTCTTCGCAGTTGCCAAGCTTCCGAAGTCAGATTGGGGGCCCAACCTTACAGTTGTCAAGACGTGTGAGCTAATTTTCTCTGACGGTGGGCGTAACCTCCCCGCTTTCGTGATCGGCCGTCAGATCATCGTAACGATGTGCTTCTTGATCAGCGCTCGCATCACCACCATAAATGTCGACCCCAAAGGCGGCGACGAAACAGTATTCGGTGTCCCCAATGCAGTGGAGGTGTTTTTCAATACTGGGCTGCTTGGTGCCATCATTACTACCACTATTGGATCTGTATCATGGCAGCTGGTGGCCTCCGTGTTCCCCGTGGCGTTTCTGCGCAATCCGCTGGTGTATATTCTCTTACGGATGTGCTTGTGCCTGGAGTTTACAGGCATTTGTTCAGGTGCTTGGGTTCTGGCTTCTGTTCACAAGCGTGTTTCCGGTTTCAGGCGTGATGAGTGCTATTTGGACCACGCTGATAATCAACGAGAAGGTACAACCACAACGTTTGCTAATGCGGCAGACGTAGAGGTTGAACCCAATGTTCTGTGGAGCAAATCCTGGTTCCGGCGTCGCATCAAGGCTACAAAAGACGTCTCCCTTCTGAGCGACCCTGGGGTTTTCCACGCTGATTCTGGCAGCCGGCCGTCGTCGTCGCCACAGGCAGTGTCTAGTGGACCATGCTCAACCACAATAGGCCGACAGCCAGACCCTTCCCCAGACGCTTGCGCCGGGCCTGCCTGGTCGACAGCCCAGGCGCAGCCTCCGATGCGACGAGCCGTGTCGGGGGGCCGAGAGCCTCCCGACGGCCTCACCGATGCCGGCCGCCTCGGCGGGCCCGCTTGCGTGGAGATCGCGCAGGGCGGGGGTTCGCCAGGTCGTCGGGCCGCTGAGCAGATCTAGCTCTCTCTCCTGAGCGTCCGTCTGCCCGCGGGTCCGAGTCGGCGGCGCCCGCCCGAGATGCACACGGGGGCGGGCTCGTCGCAAAAAGGGTTCGTGGGCGGGTGCCCACGAGACCCCGCCCGCAGTGGTCCGCCCATCCGGTTCCGCCTGCAGAGTTCCCGCCCTGCCAGGTGGTCGCGGGCATCGGCTGCACTGGCAGCCCAGGGGGGCCTGCCAGTGTCAGATCCAGCCCGCGCGGAACTGTACAGAGAGGTCGGCGGCGTTTGCAAGCCAGTGCGCGTTGGCGGTGACGCTGGTTGCCCATCGAGTCTTGCCCATTCTGTGGCTGTCTCTGGGCCTCAGCGGTTGTGCCAGTCCGTTTGCAGTGGTTGTGGCCCATGGACTCCATGAGTCCGTGTCGTGCGGCGTCCAGGGTGCTCACGGCCAGACCTCTCGTGGGGTCATGTTGGGGGTCTAGCTGTGTTCTGCTGTCCTGGGGCCATCAGGGGGCTTCTCGGGCGGCGGGGGTCGGCGGCTCGCTCGGCCTCTTGTGGCGGTGTCCAGAGAGTGCGGGACGCCTGCTGGAGGCCGCCCTGGGCCAGTGCCAGTGGCCTTCGGCCCATCCCGCCACCGTGGCTGGGTCGTGGACATGAGACCACGTGGGGGCCTCTTCGAGGAGGCCGCTCGGAGACCTCCTTGCGGGGTCCTGGGGGCCGCTAGGGGCCTCCTGAGGGCCCTCTGGGGGCTTCTTGGGGTCTCTTTTTGAGGGTGCGGGCTGTCTCGTGGGGAGGAGGAGGAGGAGGAGGAGGAGGAGGAGGAGGAGGAGGAGGAGGAGAGGTGCGTTCCCCTCTGTGGCTCTTTGGGCGTATCTTGGGAGCCTCCTGTGCCCCAAGCAGGCCCGATAGAGGCTCGGTAGACCCTCTTGTGCGGGTCCTGGGGGACTCTTGGGGACGTCATGGACGCCCTGAAGATTAAAATCACACACACACACAAACGCACAGGTTGGTTCAACGATCTGGGCCTCGTGGGCTAGCCCCCAGGGCTTCGATGACCGCCAGGGATGCCCCCAGGAGGGCGCCACAACGCGCCCCTGGGGCTAACCATCGTTCTGAGGCCTTTAGGGTGTTTCTCGGGAGGGCCTGGTCGGATGCTGGAGTCGGTGTGGGCGGGTCTGGCTTCCTGGAGACCCGCTTGCCTACCGCCAGAAGCGCTCAGTAGCGCACAGGAATTACGGCAAAATGGCAGTGTACGTTTTTCAGTTGTTTGCGATCCTTTCAACTCTGAAGTAGCTATGGGCCTGATTTCGGGCACCCCTCTATGTGCTGAAAACACGGTGACGGATACTATGAATATTTTTGGCCCGTCCCGCCACCGTGCCTGGATTGTGGGTCAGAGTTCTTTTGGATACCTCCCAGGGTCACTTGGGATGCCTCTTGTTGGATCGCCTCCCTCAAATTGCACAGGGCCGTTGCACGTTGTTGCAAGGGATACGGATATGCGGCACCAGCAGCACCAGCGCGAGAATCCGTGGAGGGTCCTCTTGGTGGTGTGGTTCCCCCGTTCTGTTGCGGCGCCCCGCTCGAGATATCCCCAATCTGCAGTTAGGAGGGGTATCGTGGACTTGCTCGCTGGAGGGAGCCCGCTGGTGGTGTTGGTGATTTCGCTTATCGCGCCTCCGATCGAGGTATGTGAAGTGTCGCCACTACGGTACCTTTGGGAAGGCGGGTGTTCATTGCTGAATCCCCCGGTGCCAACAATCGGTACGGCCTTCTTTGGCCCCCGTTGTTTGGGGGATTGGTTGAACTTCTATCCACTTGGACCGTTTTCCTTTTTTCAGATTCGACCCAGTTCCCACGAGTGGCTTGCAGGCAGGCTCGGACGCCGATCGGGTATTCAGGACGACGGGAGTGTCCATGATTCGTTTGAAGATGTATGGGCAGGTCGCGTTGAGAAAGAGTGGCAATTCATTCCTCCGCTGAGCATGCGAAGTATGACAAGACTCGCGTGAATAGACATCTGCGTCCGTTATCCTTGTCTCGCCCCCATCTTAAGCATTATCATGTCTGCTCCCTCCTCCAAGAGAGCCCCTAACAGAGGCAGTGTTTGTTTGCAGACGCTCGCAATCCGCAGGACCTCTGCGGGTCTAGTACTTCGCAGACCTCCGAACGGCCAGGCCGAGAACTGGGGTCCGTTGAACATCTAGAGCTCGACGTCTCAGGTCGAGGGCTGCGCACTTGTGCAACATGTGTCTTTTTTACGCACGTCCAATGCATAGAAATTTCGCGAGCCTCGTGCACGCTTGAATTTCAACTTATGGTGCTGCAGTCGCTGTTTCCCTGCACTTGGAGCCTCGGATGAGGTGCGCCAGAATTTACGGTGGGCGCAGGCGAGAAATAGCATCCCCTGCACAGGCAAGCGGTTTCCTTCGTGTGCGCTGGGGGCCAACGAGGTTATGCTTCGGAAGCCCCATACGGTAGGCTTGCGCCTGGTTGGCGCGGCGGCGACTCTAGCGCGGGCATCCACGAATGAACGCCGCCAGTGGGCTGGAATCGGCCAATGTCGAACGGCATGCGCTATCGGAAAGCCGCGATTGTCGAAGGTTACACGATCCTCGAATTGCCAGTAATGAGCGCAGGACTCGCCACGATGCGAAGCTGCTCTGCCGAGCTCTGCGTTCGGGTGGGGAATCCCCCGCCCCCGACGGGGGCCAGTCTCGCCTACGGTAGGTTCGTTTCGTGTCGACGCGGCGGCGACCCCGCCGCGGGCGTTCAAGGTTGAGCGACGCCAGTGGCCCAGAATCGGGCAATACGCTAAGATCTGGCGATCGAAGCACCGCCGATCGCTCAGGGTTGAACGATCCACGCGGTGTCAAAAGGCCAGCCCGGGGCAGTCACGACACCACTTCGCCGTAGATGTCACATTTCGAAGCGCATTCGATGCATGTCCCGAGGTCATACGCACCTTCGAGATTTACAAGTTCCAGTCCGTAATTGTTCTTCACAGCAATGGGGCTGTTGCTTTCTGTTGCGTGTGGTACTTGTCGCTGTTGGTTCAACCAAATCGCCCTAACATTTGATATCTTGGAATGTGGACGACACGCAGTAGGCATAGTGTACCCTCAAACTTCTAAAGGAAAAAAGTCTGACAACGAAACATACCACAAGCAGGTGGACCACAGGCCGATCGCGGACCCGAACACGGAACTAGCCGACACGGCGGCCAATGTGACAGTGGGGCGTCCCTTGTTTCCCGAATTTCATCGCGGTACGTAACCACCTCGGCCACCAGCAGCCCCAGGCAGAAGCATCAGCAGAGTTGTCGCCGACAACTAAGTTCTGGGCCCATCCCGTGGACTGTGGGAGGAGGGGGGAGGGCAGGGAGGAGGGGGAGGGGGGGAATAACAGTAGGAGCAGGATGTGGAGGACGAAGGAGACGGTCGGAGGTGAATCGTGTATAACATGTCGGCTTTGGATCCTGACCCCCAGGCATCCCACAGGTTCACGGAGGTCCTCGAAGGCTTCCGGGGGATTACCTCTAAGCTTCTTAGATTGTGTCCAAGTAGATGGGGTTGGAGGACACCGTCGCATCGCCGATACATCGCCGATGCGGTTCGATGTGCAGCCCGATTTTCTCCACGCCGACGGCGCCGATGCATCTTCGACGTCGCCGTTGTGCCTCTGTTTCCTCTTCCACCTCCCGCCCTCCTCTCGCTCTGACAAGCTTGTTCGCTTGGAGTTGGGCTCCAATAGCCTGGCTTGGAATTGGAGATGTCTCAGCTCTCGTAGGGTTGCTTTCTTGGGATGCCCTGGTGCTAATTCTGACGTCACGCGAGGTCTTTGGTTCTGTCAGCATCATTATCTCTTCTTTCATCCTCGTTCTCCCACATCTGCGTGGGACAAATCGTCGATTCGGCGGCGAGCCTTGTGGGGGAAATGAGAAGGGGCAGACCTTCTCAGAAGGCTCGGAAGTCCCCCGGCCTTCTGAGAAGGTTCCTAAGGCTTCCCCAGGGACACAGTCAAGTTTTCAGAAGACCGACGGGCTTCTCAGAAGCCCCGCCGCCTTCTGAGATGGCCTTCTCCTTCTCATTTCTCCCCCTCGCTCGCCGCCGATCGACGTCGCCGATGTATCGGCGATGCAGCGTGACCTTCCGATACCATCTGCTCGGAGCCCATCAGGGAGGCCTCCCTGCTCGGTCCTTGATCCTCGGCCCTTGATATCCTCGGTTCTTGATCCTCGGCCCTTGATATCATCGGCCATTGGTGTCCTCGGCCCTTGATGTCCTCGGCCCTTGATCCTCGGCTCTCGATCTTCGTCCCTCGATTCTCGATCCTTGATATCCTCGGCTCTCGAGATCGTCGGCTCTTGATCCTCGGTCCTGGATCCTCGATCCTCGATATCCTCGGCCCTTGATGTCCTCGGCCGTCGATGTCCCCGGCCCTCGAGCCCAGGCATCACGAGCCCTCGGCCCTCGATATCCTCGGCCCTCGTTGTCCTCGGCCCTTGATCCTCGGCCCTCGATCTTCGGCCCTCGATCCTCGATCCTTGAGATCGTCGGCCCTGGATATCTTTGGCCCTCGATCCTCGCTCCTCGATATCCTCGGCCCTTGGTGTCCTCGGCCCCCGAGCCCGGGCATCACGAGCCCTCGGCCCTCGATGCTCGATCGTCGCAGCGACGACTCGGTAGGACGGAGGAGGAGGAGCAGGAGGAGGAGGAGGATGGAAGAGAAGAGGAGGAGGAAGAGGGGCAGGAGGAGAGGAGGAGGAGGAGAGGAGAAGGATGGAGGAGGAGGAGGAGGAGGAGGAGGAGGAGGAGGAGGAGGAGGAGGTGAGGAGGAGGAGGAGGAGGAGGAGGAGGAGGGTGAGGAGGAGGGGGAAGGTAAGGAGGAAGAGGTGGAGGAGGAGGAGGAGGCGGAGGAGGAGAAGGGGGGGGGGGGGAGAATGGAAGGAAGAAGAAGGAGCAGGAGGAGGAGGAGGAGGAGGAGAGCCAAGAGGAGGGGGAGGAAGGAGAGAGGAGGAGGAGGAGAGGAGGAGGAGGAGGAGGAGGAGGAGGAGGAGGAAGGAATGAGGAGGAGGCGGAGGAGGAGGGAGGGAGGCCAAGCCCTTCTCACCCGCTTGGCGTGCCGCGCGGGCGGGCCTTCTCGCGGGACTCAGCGTTCGGAGGCCGCCGCCCCGTGTTCCGGCTCTCTGCGGCCCCGGGGCCGCCCAGACCGGGGCCCTGGAGCACCGTTTCGCCGATCCCGATCGCGCGGCCGGCCAAGACTTGTGGCTGCTTTCGAATCCTCGTCCTCTTCCCTCCTCGTCCCTCCTCGTCCTCCTCCTCCTCCTCCTCCTCCTCCTCCTCCTCCTCCGTCCAATCCCTCCCCGCCTCTACAGGTTCCTCCTCCCTTCTTCCAACTCCTCGTCCCTCTCTCTTCCTGCCCATCTTCAGAAGTCCTCCTCCTCCTCCTCGTCCTGCTTCCCCTCCCACCGCTACCTCCTTCCACCAACTCTCTCTCTCCTAAATCCCAGATGGGGTCCGAGTAGACTAGGACAGAGGATCGCTCCGCATCGCTGAGGCATCGCCAAGGCATCGCCGATGCGGCTCGATGCGCAGCCCGATGTGCTCCGCGTCGACGTCGCCGATTCGTCGCCGACGTCGACGATGCGTCGCCTGTGAGTCGCTGATGCATCGCCGATGCATCGCCGACGTATCGGCGATTCGGCGCGATCGGATCGGAGGATAGCGGCGATCCTTCGACCCCATCTACTCAGACACTATCTAGGAGGCTTCTAGGCCAATAGGGTGGTGATGACTAGGGGGGTGGATATCATGGCGGGGGCCATGATGCAGTGGAGTCGCGCATCAAGAAACCATCTGCTTGTCGCAGGGGCGTCCTCGGTTTCGTCGCTCTCGGCGAGCTGCGCGGTGACCTCCCGCAGCCATTGAAGGAGTTGCTTCGTTTAGGGTGCTCTGGGTTTCCTCTCAGGTGCACCTCACGCGCGGGTTTTCAGAGTTCGGTTTCTTGCGGGGGGTTCTTGCGGCCGCGCCCGCACTATATCTTTCCAGATATCATGGCGCCTCTTCTTATTTCAATACGACCCCAGCCCCACCCTGGGTCGCGCACATGCCGCCAGCCATGATTAACGCACTCTTCCCATCCTCACTGATCCTGGGAGGAGGAAAGGGGTACCGGGTACCCACACCGCTACCCTTCGCCTAGTTTTCCCTTGTTGCCGAGCCTCCTGGGAGGCCCTCGTCGCCACCGCCAGGTTCGCCTCGGAGTCCTGGCCAGAACGTAGCCGGGGAGAGGTCCAGGGAGTAGCGGTAGGGGTACCTCCAGGTTTCCCCAGTTCCGATCCCCATCAGTTCAAATCGGGCCTGTCCCTCTACAGGAGTAATTTCAGAAAAAATTGCAAACATAGTATTGAGACGTGTTGGCACGATTTTGAATAACTATGTTTGACTATTTATGTTTTGATTTTTTTTCATTTTTCGTCCAAAATCCCCATTGTAGGAAGACATGCCCGAACGAACGCCAGTGGGGATAGGGATCGGCTCAACGATGCTCCACACTGCTAACCGGCGCTCTGAGAATCTCTCCTGGAGAGAGCGACCCATGGAGGATGCGCCGACTCAGGGCTTCAGTTCCCTTGGACGCGCCAGCGTCCTGGTTTGTGAGAGTTCCCGTTCGGGGGTCCCTCAGTCGTCACCTTGGGGCCAGGATGATTCTTGGCAGCCTCTCATCACCGAGCGCGTTCCACTACTCGCAACGTGCCTACTCGCAAACGTCCGAAACACACACACACACACATCTGCATCGATGTAATGTATCGTAAATCCCCCATGGCGGAGCCAGGCCGTTTGCGAGTAGTTACTTTGCGAGTAGTGGAACGCGCTTGTCTATCTCAAGACCACCATCGCGTTGTGGAACAGCCGCGGCGACGGGTTTGCAATTCTTCGTCTCGGGGGGGCCCCCGCCGGGTCCAGCGAGACGGCTCGGGACGACGAGCGGACCCCTGCGAATAGCGGGTCGAGATATCCCGTGGCCCCTGTGGGGGTCCGCCCTGCGAAGGTTCATGCCTTCGGGGATCGGGGCCCCATGCCCGGACCCTTTTTTGCGTCGGCGGCTAGGCAGAGTCACCGCACTGGCGAGGAAGCAGAACGGGACTGCCGTACACCTTAGGCGATGTTTAAGAAAACTTAAATTTTCGGCCAGGGTCTCGATTATTCTTAATGTTTCAATGTGAATCCTAAGATTCGAATGGGATTTTTTGGGTTTTTATTCAAGTTCTGAGACTATGAATTTCTTATCCCATAATTTCTTAAGCATTTCGCAGGGTGTAGGGCGAATGGTGCCACCATGCGGGAGGGGGGGAGGGGGGCCCCCATGCCCAGACACGCGACGTTCTGATTGTGTTGCCACTGCGCGGCCCCCCGAGGGCCTCGACCTCTTTCCCCCAGGACCGGCCCTCCCTCCCGAGCCGGTTTTTTTGGTTAGCTTGCCGGCCTCGAGGCCGAGGAGAGGGCCCCTCTAGAGATCTGGACGCCCGAAATGGGTACGGAAAGAATGGGTACAATTCAGAGCCCCGAATCATCAGGGGTAACTCGGGTCAGGGCTAACTCGGGTTCGTTTTTCGGGAATCCGAACCCGAGTTATCCCGGACCCGAGTTACCCCGGATATTTCGGGCGTCCAGAGCCCCGAATCATCAGGGGTAACTCGGGTCAGGGCTAACTCGGGTTCGTTTTTCGGGAACCCAAACCCGAGTTATCCCGGACCCGAGTTACCCCGGATAACTCGGGCGTCCAAACAATGCCCAAGAGCAGCCCCTGTTCATTTTGAACAGGACTCGCCGTCGGTGTCGCCGCGGCCTGTGTCCATTCGAGACAGAAGGCCGCCTGCCCAACAGCGGCCGCTGTTGGTTTGGGACAAGATTTGTTGTTGGGCATTGTACCCATTCTTTCCGTACCCATATCGGGCGTCCAAAAGAGATCAGGAGGGGAAGAAACACACAGACACAATTAATCGTCGATTTCCCAGAAAATATGGGAAAATATGGGAAGTGGTGGGGACGACAAAAACCCAGAGAATATGGGAAAATATGGGGACTATTTTTATTTGTGTGTATTTATTTGTGTGT